AAAAAAAAAAAAAAAAACCATCGGAGTCAAAGCACACCTCCGGCAATTATGGCGAAAAATAGAGGGCAGTTGCAGGTGAAAATTGAATTGCATGAAGCTCAAAATCCTCGGCTACAGAAGAAGCAGAATCGTACAAGCCAAACCAAATATACGTTCCAATTTCAGAGATTATTTATCTTTTATGCATGTAAAAGGCATATACGAATACAAAGCACAACAAATCGTGATATCCATTCAATTCTTCCTCGCAACAGATAAAAAGCAACAGGGAAGAACAAGCGAACCTGTATAATGATTATATTACAATGGCGGAGACTTTGTCCGCCTCGGCAAACCCGTTATGCGGGAGAAGGATCGAGACAGAGAGAGAGAGAGAGAGAGCGAGCGAGAGAGAGGCAGAGAGAGAAAGAGAGAGAGAGAGAGAGAGAGAGAGGAATTATTGGGACACGAAAAATAAATGGTGGGGTTGGATTTAGTCATGGAGATTGATTACTGTAATCACAGGATTTCAGTGACATTGAGAGTTTGTTTGTGGTGCGTGTTTGTGTTTGCGTGTGATTCTGTTACTGTTTTGCGTGCGCGCGCGCACACACACGCACACGTACTGTGAGAGTGTGAGAGAGAGAGAGAGAGAGAGAGGGAGAGAGAGACGTATAATTGCGGGGCGAATATCGCAATTAAAAGTGGATTGTAGTTTGATTATAGCTTGACCCGGGCGCCTCCTACCTACTAATTAATTAATTAATTGTGATCATCGCCTAATTATGCGTTAGGCGGCAGTTCCTTTATATGTATACACTAGTGTTTGTACTTAGAAAAAAGTGTTTTTTTATTAAATTACTATTACAACGCCCGTGTACTATACTATACGGGTGCTTGATAATTTTTTTTTAAATATTTAAAATTAATGAAAAAAATAGTTGAAAGTTAAACACTTTTTATAAATGTACATATATATTTTTTTTTTCCCGAAACGACAGAGATAATATCATAAAAAGTCAACGAGGACATAGTCCTAATACATTGTTCAGAGTACAATGGCAATACAAATATAAAAAGTGAGAGACACATCCTAGATGGTCTAGAACCTCTACAAGAGGAAAAAAACTGAAAAAGACAGAAAATCCAAAGAACAACCTCCTTCTACTGCTAAAAGCCTAGAAAGGGAGTTGAACTCCAAAAAGAAAAACACACAAAAGATTAAATACAGACAAATCAAGCCAACAGTCCAAAAGCTGAGGTGAAGTGTGTCCAGTCTGAATGAGCCACCTTAACCACAGCTGCTGCTGGCATCATGGATCTTTGAAATACCCACAAGTTCCTTGACTTCCAAAGCCACCAAAGAATGTATGTGGATAGCTGAATTCTAGCTTCGGCAACTTCAGAATGATCAAGGGAGCATATCTTGAACCACCACAATTTGAAAGAATCAGTGCAGTCAGCAATTCCATCCCATGACACTGGAGAAAGATCCCAGACTCTTTTTGCTCTTGTACAATTCAGTAGTGCATGTTCAATAGATTCAGAGGAGTCTCCACACACAGAACAAATATGATCAATGTTAACCTTCCTCTTATTAAGCAAACTAGCAACTGGTAATGTACCTGTGATGCACTTCCAGAGGAAGTGTTTGAGTTTTCCAGCAACTTTGACTTTCCAAAGTCTGTATTGCACTGCTTTTGAAATTTTAGAACTGGAGCTGCTCTCAGGGAAGTCTAGCTGAGTAAGTTTAATGCTAGACAATTGCTTATAGGCACTAGACACTGTGAACTGTCCTTTTTATCAAGTCCCCAATGAAGCCTATCTGGTCTGTCAGGATGAAGGGATGAAATGCTTAAAATTGCTGCACTGTCATTGTTATCAAAGACTTGCTTAACAAGCCATTCATTCCAAGAAGTTCCATCTGAGTTCAGCAGATCTTTGACCCATATGAGGTGTCCTCTAGCAATTGACAATAGAGTGGGGGATGGTTTTGAGAGCTTTGGCACCCAATTAAAGTCTGCAATTTGAGTAGACATTCCATTTCTAATCTCAGTGTTCAACCACTTTGCAAAAAAAGGGATCACCTGCATCCATGAGTTCCACATCCAGGATCCTTTCTGAGATTTGGTAGCATGAGTGATGGCTGTTTGAGGGAAATATCTATCTTTCAATAATCTACTCACAAGAAGCTCTGGGTTTGATGCTATTCTCCAGAGCTGCTTACAAATTAATGCTTGATTGAAGAGTTGCAGATCTAAAAAACCCAAACCTCCTTTTTCTTTAGGCAGAGACATGTTATTCCATTTCTTCCAATGAATTCCCTGTGTTTGATCATTTGTTTGCCACCAGAAGTTGGCACAAAGTTGTGAGATTTCAGCACAAAGGGAAACTGGCAATTTGAAACAAGACATAGTGAAAATAGGTAAAGCTTGAGCAACTGATTTGAGGAGCACTTCCTTCCCAGCTGGGCTTAAAAGTTTGGACTTCCAGCTTTGCAGTTTGCTTTTGACAGAAAGAAGAAGGTATTCAAATACTTCCTTTTTGGATTTTCCAATTCCCAATGGCAGTCCCAAGTATCTGGTGGATTTATGGGCTATTATTCCATTGAGAGTAGAACAAATAGAATGCTGGAGTGGCAAGGGAGTATTCCTGCTGAAAAAAACTGCTGATTTGTTCATATTAACTGCTTGGCCAGTGAAGAGTCTATATTTTTCAAGCAAATTCATTAGAGTGCCTGCTTGATCAGAGCCTGCTTTGCAAAAGAAGATAGAGTCATCAGCAAATAGAAGGTGAGTAAGCAATGGACCATTCCTGGAGAGCCTTAGGCCTTTAAGCTGATCAGATGCAACTGAGTGAAGAATTAAGGCAGTAAGCAGCTCAGCCACTATTATAAAGAGATATGGAGATAGTGGATCTCCTTGCCTTATTCCACGAGAAGGAGTGACATAACTGCTTACAGTTCCATTGATCTTGAAAGAGAATGATGTAGTTGAGATACAAGTCATAATCCACTTGACAAAGTCTCTGTGAAAGCCCATCTGTATCATAATATCATGCACACATCTCCACTCAACTCTATCAAACGCTTTAATCAAATCCAGTTTGAGGGCCATGAAAAAATTAGATCCAGAGGAGTGCCTGTTTAAAAAGTGAAAAGCCTCTTGGGCAACAATCACATTATCCATCAGTTGTCTTCCCTCAACAAAGGCAGATTGGAAGTCACTTATGCAATATGGGAGACAAACCTTCAATCTCTGAGCTAAAACTTTGGAAATGACTTTGTAAATCACAGTGCAAAGGCTTATTGGCCTAAACTGACTCATAGTTTCAGGATTCAAACACTTTGGGATTAGAGAGAGAACTGTGTGATTCCAGTATTTGAGAAGTGTACCTGTTTGAAAGAAACTTTGAATGGCACTCAGAAGATCATGTTTTATCAGATCCCAAAAATGCTGATAGAAGGCTGAGGTCATGCCTTCTTCCCCCGGTGCTTTATCAGAAGGTAAGAGAAACAAAGCAGATTTAACTTCTTCCTCAGACACTTGTTTCACAAGGGCTTCATTCATCTCAGTTGTTACAGTTTGAGGTATCAGGTGAAGAATTGAATCTCCTCCTCTGCTGTCATCTGAAGTGAAGAGATTATTGTAGAAATCTGAAATGTGAAGCTCCATAGCTCTCTGAGAGGTCAGAATTCTACCCTGAGGATCTATAAGCCTGGTGATTGCATTTAATCTTCTCCTCTGCACAGTAAAAGCATGAAAAAATCTTGTATTGGAGTCTCCTTCCTTAAGCCATCTTTGCCTTGATTTCTGCTGCCAATAGATTTCTTCATGGAGATGAGCTTTGTTTAATGCCCTTTTGGTAGATTCCCAATTTTCCCAGTTGACTCCTGATTTGTCATGATTCAGCAGATCCAATTTTTGAGTGAGTTCAGCAATGAGGGCTTGATTTTGAGTCTGAAAGGTGGAACTCCACTTAAGCAGAGCCAATCTGGTTAATTTGATCTTCTCTTTCAGTTTGAAAAAAGGGGTACCTGTGACTGAGGTT